ACCGGCCAACTTTATCACCCACTCAAATAGGCTACGGCTTAGGTTCGCCACACATTCGCATAGCGGGTACAGCGCCGGCAAAAGAGGGTTCAAGATATCGTACAAGACTAAAGTGTGGGGTAAGTGTCAATGTGGGGGTGTTTGTTCTGGATCAAGTAGTTATTTTTAATTTGCCCATTATGGTCATAATTAGGTAATAAAATTATTATATTATTGACGGTTTAATGATTTATACAATTTACAATAACTACTGTATCTATAATAATTTATTGTTTATGGACTGTAAACTAATAATTATTAGAAACATTATAGTTGAATAAGATTTAATTTTTCAAATGATACTGGAGGCTAATATGGCGACTTAATTTAAATAAATACAATAATATTTGCCAATTATTAATCATTTTTATTGTGTTTCAAGTTTTTTATTGTGGTATAGACTGTAAACTAATAATCATTAGAAATATTATAAAGGGAAATTATTTAAAATATTAAGATATCACTGGAAGAAAATGACTCCTGACATTTTATTTATAAAAACTTAATCATAAATTAACCAGCACAAAACAATTTTTGTATTTTATTTACATTTATTAATTTTAATATTACGCCGGTACAGATACAAACACTGAGTTCCTATTGGCCGCTCACAACGCTATCGCGAGGGTCCGCTCAAACCGGACCAAAACCATAGCGTTTAACGGACACCGGGTGTCACATCTCATTGACCACGACATGGGGCGCCACCGAGTAATCTGGTTTGACCGGCAAAAGCACCGCTTTGTCTACATGATAACATCTGGCAACTCTACCACAACCACTGGTCAACAACAACAGCGGGAAGTCTACGCGGGCGCCGCCGGACGGCCAAACAGTCTGGCCGTCGACTGGATCCGAGACCGGCTCTATTGGCTGGACATCATGTCTAAGACAATCAAACTCTTGGATTTTGCTGATCCCAAGACACAGGTGTATACCGTGTGCGACGCCGGCGGCGATAATCCCCGCGATCTGGTACTGAACGTTGCCGTCCGGGCACTGGTCTGGAGTACAATCGGCACATCACCCCAACTGATCCAATCGCAACTCGACGGCAGTAATCAGACAGCGCTGTACGACTCCGGACGACAGGCCTATCATCTGACGGTCGACTATCAACGGCGGCGGTACTTCTTCGTGGACATCGATGACTGGTTTCTGTATTCAATTGACTTTTTGGGATCAGACGAACGGATGTACATAAAGTCAAGGGAGTTCTTCGACGCCGTGCACACAATGTTCGCCCTAAACGGTGACCTATACCTGGCCAACGAGCACATGGTGTACAAAATACCCGAGATTGAGCTCCGGATCGAGAGCGTACAGGTGCTCTACAAGAGTCACCGCTTTAATGTGACCACAACTGGTCAGACCGGTTGGTCACCGACGGTGGTAGTGGTCGCCGACCAGTCCGTTGATATCGATCGCCAAGAGATTAATGGTTTCCGTATTGCGGATCCGGCGTTACAGCCGATGGTCAATGACTCGGCCAGCGATGGCTGTCTATTGGCCACCAATTGCCCGAACCTATGCCTACCGGCCGCTGGTCTGGAATACAGGTGTCTGACACCCGATAGTGAGCTTATGATGAATAGTGCCTACGATTACT